GAAAGAAAGGCATTTAAGCAAAGTGGATAGGCAGAGGAATTCTTGATGGGGATTGGGGTGAAGCATGAAAAGAATAGAAAATCTAAAAGTTAGACGATACCTCCATATTCTGGAGCTAAATACCCAAAAGTACCCGCTATCCTTGTATGAACTGAATATTTTCCATCTGGAACCAGACGAACCAAGCCAAAATCTGCTATTTTGGCATGCATATCATCTCCAAGAAGAATATTGGATGGCTTAAGATCCCGATAAATGAAGCTCTGACGTGCAAGACCGTGAAGGTATTCAAGCCCTCTAGCCACATCCAAGGCAATTATAAGTCTTCTAGTCCACTCAAGTGGTTTCAAACCTTCCTCCTTCCAGTTGAATAGATGCCTACTGAGGGTGCCTTGGGGCATGTACTCATACACAAGAAGCCTCTCATTTCCGTCCAGACAATATCCAAGAAGTGCAGTTAAATTGCGGTGACGAACCTTCGTAAGAACTGCAATCTCAGACTTAAACTCTGCCAAAGCCTTCTCATTCATAATACTTGACTTCATTCTTTTCACGGCAATCTTTGTCCCACTACGCAATTCTCCTCTATAGACTGTACCAAAACCACCTCTTCCCAAAATATTTTCCTCGCTAAAGTTATTGGTGGCGGTCCTCAAAACTTGAGTCGATATGACCTTAACCACTTCTTGATCACCAGAATGAAAGTGATGTATCACTGCCGTATTGGGGCTTTGCACCGTACTTGAATGCTTTTGTTTTCTAGCATACAAAAAGATGCCCATTCCAACAGCACCCAATCCACAAATAGCACCTACCACAGAACCCGAAACCTTCGCTGTTTGTGATTTCTTTTGGCTGCTAGCAGGACTACCACCACCACTACTATCAGGTGTGCCAGGAGAAGCAGCAGGTGAAGGAGCATCTTTTCCTATGTTCGGGTTCCCAGCAGTTATGACATCCAGATTTTGCTTGAATGTTGGTACTTTACCATAAAGATTGTTGTTTGAAACATCCAGCTTACTGAGACTAGCCAGGTTTGTGAGCTCAGATGGTATCGTGCCAGTGAGATTATTATTGGAGAGATCCAAAGTTATCAAGGAAGTAAGCATTGAGAAATTAGAAGAAATCGTACCGGAGAGCCCTAAGTTCTTAAAATTAACTGCTGTTATGTTCCCATTAGAATTGCACGTAATCCCCCTCCATGAACTACAGGGATCATTCCCTTTCCAATTTGCAGCTAAAGTAGCAGGGTAACTCACAGCTTCCACAATAGATAACAATACATTAACACGCTTATCACAACTAGCACCAGGATCACTCAAGCAGAAACTATTAGTACCAGCATTATCAACAAAGGGAGCGGCAAACTTAGGGGTAGGGCCTTGAAGCAAATTATTTGTCAATTTGACAACATAAAGGGACTGTAAATCAACCAAAGACATAGGTACAACACCAGTAAACTGGTTATCCCTCAAACTCAAATATGCCATGTGGGTTAACTGCGAAAAATTTGGCAAGGGACCGGTAAAATAATTTCCATGCAACCAGACCTCAGTTAAAGAAGTCATGTTCTGCAAGACTTGAATCGAACCGTTGAGGTTCATCCCATCTAGCCACAAAGACTGAATCATGGAACCCGAAAACGAAGCCGGCAGTCCTCCCTCAAGCTCGTTGAAGGACAAATGCAAATCAATCAGGTTAGAAAAACTACCGGAGCCAAAGATGTCCGGGATCGTCCCAGTGAGATTAGCACTGACAGCGGAAAAACTCTGCAAGGCGGTGGCCTCCTTGAGACTGGCCGGAATCTCCCAAGGCGCAAAGGGGTTGTAATCAAGACCCACAGTCTGTAAAGAAGTCAATCCCGCAAAGAAATCAGCAGGGAATGAAGTGAAACTGTTCTTGCGAAAATAGGCTTCCCGCAATGAGCTCAAACCCGCGAGACTCGGGATGGCTCCGGTGAGCTGATTGTTCATGACCTCGAAAACTGTCAAAGCAGAGAGGTTCTTGAGATCAGGCGGCAGGGTTCCTGCGACGTTCTTGC